ACAACGGGGGATTATCTATCGTTTAGGAGGTTGGAGGAACCGCACGGATATTTCGCTGAAATTCGAAACTGGATCCGGCTAGGAAACGCCGTCTAGTCCGCCACCTGCGCCTGCTCTCTCTCTCCCAAGATTTTGCGGCATGATGGCGCAGGACAACGGCATAGAAGCGGTCCTGGCGGGATAAGTAGGAAAACATGAATGTGCAAAGGAGTTTTCTCTTGTTTGTTTTATAATTTCTGTTTATCTTAAGCTTTAGGTTGTTATTTTTTCTTGTTGATGGCGCGCAAAGATGGCAGCATTATTCGAACCATCTATGATGTTAATTGCACGCGACTGCTCTACTCTTCTTCGTTCTGCTGATGCTTAACCCTGGAAGGTGGACATGAACTTGGCAACAACGTCCTTCAGCTTGGCATCGGACGCCTCAGAGATGGCACCATCCTTGGCAATGGTGTCGAGCAGAGCCTGCTCGGAGGTCTTGATGTGCTGCAAGAACTCCTTCTCGAACTTGGTGATCTTGGCGGGATCCATCTTGTCCAGATGACCGCGCACACCGCAGTAGATGACAGCGACCTAGGAGATTTGGTGGAGCATTAGAGAGGTAGGTTTCTAAACGGGAATCCCGTAATTTAGCAGGACACCCCTTCCTTTCGTACCTGATCCTCAATAGCCATGGGCACGTACTGACCCTGCTTGAGCAGCTCAGTAAGGCGCACACCACGGTTCAGCAGCTGCTGGGTGGCGGCATCCAGATCGGAACCGAACTGGGCGAAGGCAGCGACCTCACGGTACTGGGCCAACTCCAGCTTCATGGAACCGGCGACCTGCTTCATGGCCTTGGTCTGGGCAGCGGAACCCACACGGGACACGGACAGACCGACGTTGATGGCAGGGCGGATACCCTTGTAGAACAACTCAGTCTCCAAGAAGATCTGTCCATCGGTAATCGAGATGACGTTGGTTGGAATGTAGGCGGACACATCACCAGCCTGGGTCTCGATCACGGGCAGGGCAGTCAGGGAGCCACCTCCCATGGCAGGGGACATCTTGGCGGCACGCTCAAGCAGACGCGAATGCAGGTAGAACACATCGCCGGGGTAGGCCTCACGACCTGGGGGACGACGCAGCAGCAGGGACATCTGACGGTAGGCCACAGCCTGCTTGGACAAATCGTCGTAGATGATCAGGGCGTGCTTGCCCTTGTCGCGGAAGTACTCGCCCATGGCGCATCCGGAGTAGGGAGCCAAGTACTGCAGGGGAGCAGCGTCGGAGGCGGTGGCAGACACAATAACGGAGTAGCCCATGGCTCCGGAGTCGGTCAGACGCTTCACAATCTGGGCGACGGTGGAACGCTTCTGGCCGATGGCGACGTAGATGCAGAACAGCTTCTTCGACTCATCCTGGGCATCGTTGAAGCGCTTCTGGTTGATGATGGTATCGATGGCCAGAGCGGTCTTACTGCAGATTAAATACAAAATATGTGTGATTAAAACGGGTTAAAAAATAGTAAATAGTAAATAATAATAGTAAAAACAGTAATGTCCCCATATTTTTTTTTCGCAATTGTTTACTATAAATATTTGACTTGGGTGTTATTATTCTGTGATTCTACAAATTGTTTTTAAGTACGATGTGGATTTTAAAATATTTTGTTTACTTCAAGTGTGTATTTAACAGGGAAATGAAATATGTTTTTATTTTTGGAACTTTTTAAATTGTAAAATTATAAATTGTAAAAAAATCTGCATCTTATATAAACGTTATACGTTAAAGATGGATTCCTATCAGACGAAGTTATATACTCTGAGCAGTAAACTGAATTTATTTTAAACTATGTTACATCTTTTGCAAGTGAGGACCTAAATTGAACTATTTTAAGCGGTAGACCTAGAAACCACACGTGAGTTTGGGTTTGTTTTATTTATAATTTAGGCCGCGAAATGGGGTCTTGAAATTATCGTTATAGAATCCCCTTATCTTACCCGGTCTGACGATCGCCAATGATCAGCTCACGCTGTCCACGGCCGATGGGCACCAGAGAGTCGACGGCCTTGATTCCAGTCTGCATGGGCTCCCTCACGGACACACGGGGGATGATGCCGGGGGCCTTGATTCCCACACGGAAACGGTCCTTGGTGTTGATGGCACCCTTACCGTCGATGGCATTTCCCAGGGCATCGACGACGCGACCCAGCAGCTCATCACCGACGGGCACATCCACGATGGCACCGGTACGCTTGACGATATCGCCCTGCTTGATCAGCTTGTCGTTACCGAAGACCACCACGCCGACGTTGTCGGGCTCCAAGTTGAGGGCCATGCCCTTCAGGCCGGAGGAGAACTCCACCATCTCATCGGCCTGGATGTTGTTCAGACCGTACACACGGGCGATACCATCACCGATGCTCAGCACACGGCCGGTCTCCTCCAGGTCAGCCTTGGGGGCGACGCCCAGGATGCGCTCCTCCAGGATGTTGGAGATCTCAGCGCTGCGCTGGGTGCTGGCCACATGGAACTTGCGGGCAGCAAGACTGGCGGCGGGATAGGCGGCTTTGCAGGCGACCTGTAAGAGAAGAGGGTAATCTATATTAGATTGTGCGAGATTATGTAAGGTGTGGGTGCTTGGCCGTTGAATAATCACAGGGTAGCAACATTCTAACAGCCTCCTCTCCACCTCTTAATAGATCCTAAATAGGTGGTAAACCTTTTACAGGGTATCCGTCTGTCGGTACTCCCCCACTTTGCATTCTATCCCACCTTCACCACTTGCTTGACAGCCGCACCTAACCTCAAAATTTGTGTGCACCGCATCTCCCACTACATCACAATTATGTAATCTGACCACGAAAACAATGACTATTTAACGATTTTCACACACTATTCCTTGCCAATAAGCCTAGAACTTGTATTTTCTTAAGGGAATTCTTAGTCCGCACTGATTATGTAACCCCGACAGGCAACAAATTTTAGCGGTCGCATTGTAATTTGCCGCATTGCGTAACAACAAATTCTCGGTCAAAAAGCAGGAAAACCCGGTAAAATTACTTCCTATGGGTCCAGAAAGTCCTTATCCATTGGCTGTTTAAGCTCCGGAACTCACGATGCACTAATTTTTTCGCTAAATACCCCATCGATTCGGTTATGTATGACATCGTTTTAGCCAACTTTTTTCGCCCGTATTATTTCTTGGAATTTGGGGGTAATACCTGGGTGGCAGCCTTGGGCAGGTTTCGGGCGACCGAGGACGCCAGGCGAGCGGAAATAATCGACATTTTGTATGCTTTTTAACTTTTCGCCGCAGAAGTAATTGTACAATTCCTACACCAACTCCTCTCCACACTCGTAGTACTTTTCACAAGATGGTTGCTGGCCTGACGTTCGGTGTGGCAGTGCTGGGAAACGCCGAAAGTCGTGGTGAAGTGCGCGTGGCGGTCACACTGGTACATTAGGGTGGCTCAACATTGGCGAATTGCTATAGTTAACCATTAAGCAAAAGACCTTATTAGTTCATCGTTAAGATTTTTTTTTTAATACAAAAACTGCGTATTGGAATTGGTGACAATTAAATTTGAATAAAGCAGTTGATAATCAGCCGACCAAAATTCCACTATTTTAAAAGCACTAGTTAATTCTCAAAAATCCATTAAACGTTCCAATAAAAATTATTATAGCATAAAATTCACCCTAAAACGACCAAGAGTATTTAAGTTCTTTTGGGAAAGCAAGTCTCTATTTGATAACAAAGGTGTTGGGAAATGCAAAACGTCAAGGTATTTTGGGCGTTGCGCCATGCAACCACACTGGGTACGTTCGATTGTGTTTATGGTCACCCTTAGCGATGGTAGTCTTGGCGATATTTTTTATGTACCGTTTACATAATTCACACAAGTCACCTATCAATTTTACTATATATAACTATCATTTCATTGTGATATAGTTACCTTTGGGAATGAAGCGATGGTAGATAATCTAATGTTCTACTCAACTAGTATTCTTAGTTAATAGGCAACTGATTAGGGGTTTCTCTCCATGATTTTATTGAATATCTGAACATTCCACCTAAATGTTTAATGGTTTCACATATATGTAGCTAAAGCAGCTTTCCAAAAATTTTATCCTTGAAAAAGGGTTAAAGGTGTCTCTCATATAATAATAAAAAAGTAAAAATCTCTCCATTCATGTTACGTTTAGAATCTATTAAAAAGGTTTAACTATTATCTAACTGTATTATTCTCCTTGCTCAAGCTTTAAAAGATAATAAGCGAGTCTCACAGCAAAAAGCTTCTAAGCGTGTGCAAAGCACTCAGGTTTGCGATGGTATCCTTGATTTCGTCGAAAATGTTGTTCCAAAAAAGCCACGAGAAATTCAAAAAACTTTGACAAATGTTACTTAAGTTCAATAAAACGAACTATACTAATCAATAACTAAAAATTTTTCTAAGCAAATATTTTTCAAAAATTATTTACAGTGATGCCAAAAGTATGCTATGTTTTAGTGTAAGGTCAGATGTACGAAAGTTGTTAAAGATTGATATTGTTTTTTTAAAAGCATACTTTTAGGCATGCATAGATTTACAGATGTACAGTTTTTGTGTCTTCCTTTAATTTTTGAGAATTTCTATCGAAAGTGTTTTGCGGAATGCTTTCAAAATATGGCACCTCTGGATGGCCGAGTTATTAAAACGGTCTGTTCATTTTGGAGACTTTCGAGCGTTTCATTGTTGCGCCGCCTCGCTCTCGCTGGCAGGGAGCCATGGAGAGTGGGATGGATTCCTCGTGTGGAAGGATGGGCGGCAGGGGGCTGGAAAGCGCCTGAACGAGAGCTTAAACGCAGAGAGAGAAAGCGGACAAAGAGAGAGCGGCGAGAAAGTCTACACGCCGACGAGAGAGGAAGAGGAAGCAGAGGAAGCTGTGCGCGCGAGCGAACGAAAGCAAAAAGGACCTTTTTTTTTTTTAGTAATAAAGCGTGAAAGCATCCAGCCGCTCGCTCACGCAGCTTCACTTCGTCGCTTCAGTCTGAGCTTGTGCGGTCCTGTGAACACAACGCGGCGGTATAACGGTATTACGGTACAGCGGTTTGAAACGGTACATAACGGTACAGCGGGTGAAAGCTGGGCGCTAGGTGCCCAATGTAGGGGAAAATTGCATGTGCCATTAATGTGAATTTGTGCGAGGATTAGCCCGCTGGACTTTCACCTCCTCCAGCCAGCCGGCCAGCTGCCTTTTGCGGGTCGATTACAAATCTCTGATTTTCTGGCCACGTGTTATCCGGTTTAAACTTCTTTTTATTTTAATTTTTGGAAATCAACATTTATTATGCAAATCGCAACAACAAAAATTTGAGCATCCAGCATCCAATCTCCAAAAAAACTTTAAAAAAACGAAGAAAACTCTGAAACTGGAAGCGCTTTTTGGCAATTCTTGTGGGTTTTTTTTTATATTTGGTTGCTGCTCCTGCTGCTGCACACAGACAATGACACAAATTTGTCATCACACACAGACAAGCGCACGCACTGAGAGCGTAGAACAAAGGCAACGGGAAAAAGATAAATAAGCTAGGGAGCGGGGAGTGCGAGTGGGAGAGGAAGAGGAAGAAGAAGCAGGGGAGTGAAGAGTAGTACTCCGTCTCACTCGGGTACTTGACTGAACATTAAACTCTCTAGTTTTTTGCCAAGATGGAGATTTTGGACCGTTATCCTTGCCGGCAGCCGCATATCGTCGGCATCTACATCCGCCTCCTTCCCATTCAGCTCTAAAATCCGCATTCGCATCCGACATCCGCCATCCGCCATTCGCAATTTTTGACAGCTGTCAGCGTGAGCGTACGTGTGTGTGCGTGTGTGCTGGCACAGTTATTTCCACTTGGCGGCAAGGTCAGCGCGACATGCAAATTGAAAAGCGCCGCACGGGCAAAAACAAAGGACAAAGGATGCCCAGCAACAACAACGGGAGAAAGCACAACAACAACGACATCATCTATGGTAGAAAAGAGAAAAACAAAAACAACAGCAACAACATCAACTAACGAAAATGTTTGAGAAATATGTCGCCACATATGTGCGCGCGTGTGAGCAAGTGAAATTAAAATTCCCGCATGCCTAATGAATTCGCCCGCTCGTTCGCCATCCCTCTCCCACGACCGTTATGCGTGTGTGTGTACCAGTGTGTGTGCGTGTGTGTCGCTGACTTCGGAATGACAACAAAAACAACAACACTAGCAGCTACAACTAAAACAATGGCTTGCTAAGCTGTCTTAGAAAAAAAGTATAAAACGGAGAGTCAAAGAGATAGAGAGTGAGAGAACGAAAGAGAGAGAGAGAGAGAGAGGTGGAGAAAGAACGAAAGCAAAAGTGAAACTTGCAGCGAAGAAAGGTGAGTGAAAAGCAGCTAGACCCCAAAAAGTATGCTACAAATTTTAATATCCAGTGGATAGTTGTAAAATGAGGATATCAATCTTTATCTTTAAAAATGTACTGTAAAATAATAACAAGAACTTATAACTGAAATATGTTCAATTTTTATAATTTTATTTCAAGAGGTTGTAATGGTTAAAATCAAATTTCTTCAATTTTTACTTTGTAAAAACCCAAATGTCTTTATTTATACAAAAGTATCTCTATTTTATATCTTTCTTGAATTATCATTGATTTTAATTACTATAAATATGTTTATCTATATAAAATTCCATATCAATTTCCACTTAATTAATTAACTTTTTCTGGTCTTCCTAAAATTTAATTGAGGATTTTGGCAATTACATAACTTTGAGAAAAACCCAATTCAGATAATTGTGGTTGCACATCCTCCCCACCTTTTATCTGCCATCAACTGCTTTCCCATTCATCAAAACCAAAAGTTGCAAGTGCAAACCCACAAACAACACACACATATACACAATTATGCAAATTTAGCCAAATCAAATTGCAATTGCGGCTGCAACACAAACACGCTTGCAAACTTTAATAATTTGAATAAATGGAAAATGTTGAAGCTTATCTAAAGGATGGATTAGTCCATACACTATCTGGATTTTAGTAAACTAATGTTGCCAAAGAGCTAAGCGAAATCTTGTTGACAGAGATGAAAAACATTTTAAAAAGATATTTTAATACTATTTACAAATGTGATACAAATAAAAACATTTTATTTTCCGAACTTATACAACTTAAATTGAATGTTTGATAAGCATTATATAAGCACACAAAAATAAAACGTTAAGCAAACATAAAATTTTCGATTTATGTTTGGAACCTCTCTCTTCAGTTTGATATACTTTGATGCAAAGTTGATGACCACCTTTGTTGGTGTTTTTTTTTTGCTGGTTCACGACCTAAACTTTATCGATTACAAGTTATGGTCTTACGGTTTTCAACCTCAGTGAGTATACAATATATGGGAATAAAGTCATTACCATCTGGGGTCGAGGGTCTCCCCAAAAGGAAAACCAATTAAAATTATTTGTGGCGTCAAAGGCAAATGGCAAAGAATGCGGCGATGCGAAATGGAAACGAAGCGAAATGGTAGAGAAATGAAATGAAATGGAGAGATGTGAATGGGCCCTCAGCTTCCTCGTAAATAATGCGGGCATTAGAAAGGACTCTCGTAGCCCCCCATCCACCACCACCCACCATTCGAGTCTCGAGACCCGCCCACCCATCTAACCATCCAGCCAGTTTTGCGAGCCAACTTCTTGTTGGTCCATTGCAGCGGGGCATAAAAATGTTAATTTATGTTCGCTGCGCCTCACAGTTTGCATACTTTTCCTCAGTTTTTTTTTTTGGTTTTTAATGCCACTGGTTCTGGTGCTCATTTTCGTTTTGGGTGAAATTTTCGTTGAACACATAAAAAAGATTTCTGTGCCTCCATACTTTTTTTCCCCTTGTTTTTAATTTTTTGTTTGCTGTTTTCGACAGATAAACTGTTTTTGTGCTGTTGCCACTGGGTGCTTTGAATGAAACGTGACTGTGTCCCGAAATATGCGAAACAGTTGCCGAGTTGCCCCGAGTTTTTCACATTCCGCCTCATTCGAATCGAGTTGAGTTCCAGAGCCTTAGAGATGGATTTTAAGCTGCAGCACAATTAACAAGCCGGCATTAGTGTGGAAAAAAGGATTCCGCCGATTTCATCCGATTCTCGGGGGCAAGATTGCAAGGCATGCGTGCGTGAACATTTAATTAAAGCGACTTATTAAGTATGTAAATTTCCGCAAATGATTAATTTGCATATTTATGAGACTAAAATGAGCAGGATAGGGTGTGTCAGACAACTAAAGCACCACAACAGAACAAAACGGAACAGAAGACGTCGGCAACTGTCAATAATAATCAGGCAGGAACGTGAAGGGGATGTCAAGATGGTATGATGGTAAGATGGTATAATAATGGTAGGGGGGTGGTAAAAACAACGACGGCTGTAATAACAATTTGAAATTGAAATTATGAATTTAACATGACAGCAAACGATGCGCACAAGTTTTATGGCTTTTAACTGCAGCTTAAGGAGTTTACTTACGCTGGCTAATTATGCGTAAGACGAAACGCGACAAACGTCAAGAAAAGCTGGGTTTCCGAGGGAATTCGCTTGGTAATGCTGCTGAAATTCAGGCAACAGCTGCTCCAGTTACACAGTATTACTTTTACAACTCTATCTTTAAAGAAAATTGAGTTTATTTTACAATATCCTGGTAACTGGCCACTTTATCGAGCTATAGTTTCGCAATTAGGAAGCTGAATGAACCCCTAACTAAACTGCTCTTAAATTGAATTTGGTCAATTTTTGTCTAAACAAAGTTCTGAAATGGTATCAATCATTTCAGTGGACAGTTTTAGTTTCTCACCCATGGTTTTTTTTTTCTATTTTGCCCGCAACCTCTCCTGTGGCCACTAATTAATCATAAAGCACTCGCGACGCACTTGCGCTGCCCTCCGCGTCGTATTCCAATCAAGTGCATTTCTTCGTATTCACCTGGGACTCTGTACGTGTACACAAAGAACAAATTTTAGTAAAAACTTACCATCTTTCGGATTCTAAGGGCAATAAACAAAAAACCTTGAGGTTAAATATAACTTCCATATCTGACCTTAACACACGATATATTCTTCTACATCGCTTCAGAGAGTTAGTTAATTTTCGTTCCTGTGAAAGATAACACTTTGGATATCTTAATTTCCCAATCGAAACAAAAATTCCTTGAGGTTAAATATACCATTCAGATTTGAGCTTAACTATTCTACATTGATCCATGTTATCAATAGAAATGTGATATAAATATTAAGTGATACAACAATTTTTAGAGCCTTATAGTTTGTAAAGTATATCTATAGAGCTCTTCCCTTCCAAAAACTCTTGTTTTTCCAGCAAAACTAGATTTTTCCCAGTGGAGGAGTGTGCTACGACGTGCTCCAATTAGCGTGGATGGCCACGATGGAGCCTCCCGCCATCTCGCCCGTCAGCCACTGAAAAGCAGATTCGCAACGCCCTGGACCTTTCACCCGATTTCTCCATGTCCGGACCAAAAATGGCGAACTCGTGGATACTTCGCACACTTACACACACTCGCGCACCTGGAAGCGTGGCCGCTTTTCATGTCAATCAATGGCAATAGCGAAAAACAGCAACAACTGGCTCTTTTTGATGCTCCTGTTGGCCACTAATTCTTATTGGACGTCACACTCGACAGCATTTCACATTTTGCTACAGCAGTTCCTCCTCCATTTTCGCACTTTAAGCCTCTTACACAACCTTTCACTTCGCTGTCTGTGTGTGTGTGAGAGTGTGTGTGTGGGGCTGCCTAATTAAAATTCTCCCTACCTCACTTTCCGGTTCCTCTCCCCATTGTCGACCTCGTCATCATTCTGCGATTCTGTAAAAGTCAACAATTTTTAATTTGCCAAACAAACTGTATATAATTAATTAAAGTTTAACGTGGGCGTCACAAATGAAAAAGTAGCCTTATAAGTGTCCGGACCCCTCTTCCCCGTTTACCCCTCTCCCTTAGCAACCCTACCATCTTTCAACAATGTTCCCATTTTGTTGTTACCCGCTTCTGCATTCTCATTTTGTTTTAATATGCAAAGTCAACAACATTCTGTGTCAGCCAAAGGGCAAAATCAACACAGCCATGCTACATATATAGTATATGTATGTACGAATATAGGGGGGGGGGGGGGGGGCTCGACGAACCAGTTGACTGCCCAGTGGCCGCATTAGCCAAAGGAGACGAAACGGGACCCGTGAGGATGGATGTCAACTGGCCAACTGACCAGTCTAATGGACCCGATTGCGTCGGTGTGTGCACTCAGCGAAACATTTAGATCACAGAATCCATGACATTTTGTCTTTTATGCTGAGTACACTGTTTGTGTGGCGGCAGAGAACGAGCAGACCCCGCTTAATGGAAAGCTGCCGACCACTGACTTGGATGTATTGCTTGTACAATGACCATCTCTCTAATGTGCGGCTGCATTTGGGGATATTTATGATGTTTTTTTAACCCGGTTACTTAAAATGTTTTTTTTTACGTAATCTATTAAATTTCACATCTGCTTTACATAAAACTTACATTTCCTAACACAGTTTGCTATTTCCAAAGATGACTCACTTCGAAAACCATATGATTCGGATTTTCAACCATTAAAATACTTGATTTGTTTTTATTGGTTGGGGATGTCAGTATTTCTTTCTTAGATATTCATATTTTCGTTCTTGAAAGTGTGATACTTTCATAAAAAATTATAAATACAACATTAAAGCAAAAGACACTAGGTGTTAATGTCTAATGGTACCTACTTCTTCAGAAAAGGTCAATGTACCTGAAATATGTTATTCTAGTATTAAAATATATTATTATTATTTTTAAGGGCAATCTCGGAAAAGTTTAAAATATTATTTAAAAAACTTTAATTTTTTTCTCTGTTTTTGTGTCTGTAAAGCGAGTAAAAATATGCGTAAAGGAATGTAAGCAGATGCAATTGGCAAATAATAGTTGCCACCAGCAACTCTGAAGTTCCGATGAAAACTGGTTTCTCATAAAATGGACACAGGTGCAAACAGGCATGAAAACATTCGTTTAGCCATCAAACAAATTCTAGGCAATCTTGGTTATTGCATTGGTTAAGGATTATCACCAAAAATAGTTATGAGGGTTAGACAGTTATGAACATTATAGAACAGCATCGCATTTGTAGTTTTTATTGCTAGGAATAGTAAATCAATATGGAAATGTACTTTAAAATCCGACAGATTTGTCTTTTGGGATAACTAATATTTATAGATATGTTTAAGTTAAATTATTAAGGGATCATATAATTTAATTAAAGTTATATGTTTATCATAAAAGCTTAAATTCCTTTTAGGTTAAAGCTTTTCATATT